TTTGTGGAGGCCCCGTTAGGCCAACGGGGCATCAGCCCTAAATCCGACCCTGTGTAGACAGGCTCGTACGGGGAGGTACCGCGGCCTCACAGAAGACCGGGGTGAAGTGGAAGTCAAAGTTAAAGTCAAAATTTCTTTATTCAACATGGCCTTACTTTAAGGACTTATTCAACGTTTCTTTCTTTTTTTCTTTAAATTATTTAAGTAGGTATATACACAAAAGCATTTAAGTATAAAATTAGCTGGAGCCGGGGACTTGCAAGTGCAGAGCAAGAGTCATTTCCACACATCCTTGTCCTCAATGTACTCCTCGACATTATAATAGGCCCTTTCCATTAAAGTGTTTGAAATTATTTACACTTGTTTGTGGATGTCACCTATTCTGTTTCGCCCGGTGGGTGAGGTAATCGGGGCCCACGTCTTTGAAGGATTTCAACGCATCTGCAAACCCTACTGTGTTGTAGGTGTCCAAGGGCGGTAATCACTTAACATGAGGTGAACCGCCTGCTCGCTTGACAACTTTACACATACGAAGATACTATGTAACACGAAGTCGAACGGGAAACGTTTAGTTATTAAGATATTTGAGGTTGGTTTGGTTTTTTGTTTCGTATCCAAAGGGTTAAACGGGACTTTATTACAAAGACTCCGTTGTCTGTCTGTCCGTCTATCTGTCATTAGGCTGTATCTCATGAACCGTGATAGTTAGACAGTTGAAATTTTCACAGATGTATTTCTGTCCCCGCTCGCTATAACAATAAATACTAAAAAACAGAATAAAAAAATATTTAAGTGCGGCTCCCATTCAACAGACTATATTTTTTTGCCGTTTTAATAGATAATGGTACGGAACCGTCGTGCGCGATTCCGAATCGCACTTGGGCCGTTTTTTCTTCACACTTATACGTTTCATCCGCCGTGTGAGATACGAAGGCGTACAATCTCACTAGTGTTGATTGTCCACAGGTTGCATCGGCTATTAGTATTTTTATTGTATTCTGTGTGGAAGGGGTCAGGTAGCAAGCCCTAATGACTGCGACCTAGAAGATCTATTGTAGTCTTCCCTTAGAAAATATTGCCCCCTTATTAGAGGATAACATAATCCCGTGTTGTAAGGACTTTTTATATAAGGCCGGCAACGCAATTGCGACTCAACCGATGTTGCAATGTCCATGGGCGGCGGTGTTCGGTTATCATCAGGTGACCCGCATGCTCGTTTGCCTCCTTTTCCCATAAAAAAGAATACATAAATTTCTCGTAGACACACCCAGATCAGAAACAATTATCTGTGGGTCACACAAGTAGTGTTAATCGAACCCACGACCCCCAGTGCCGAAGCCGACAACTTGTCAACTGCGCCGCGTCATCAAAAACACGGGACGGAATCTAACGCCTGGTTTCTGAAACACTGGTCATCGTAGAAGTTAACTAATCAGAAAGTGGCAAACGAGCTGGCGGTTCACCTGATGTTAAGTGATAACCGCCGCCTATGGACATTTGCAACACCCGTAGGTTTGCAAATGTGTTGCCACCTTTAAATAAAGTGGGCCCCGGCCACCTCACTCACCAGGTGAAACGCAGAAGTGTAACACTTCTTCTTTACGCCGGTGTTCTGTGAGCTCGTGGTACTTACCGGGACGGACCTGCCCATTCGTGCAACAGTGAATACTGTTCCGTGGTCCTACCACAGTTAAAATAAGAATTAAGTAATATACATATTTAAGTTGCCAAAAGGTGGGTAAACTCTCATGATCAGAATGATCTTCTTAATGATCAGAAATTTTACGGTGGTAGGGCCACGCAGCAGCCTCGGCTGTTGCACGAATGGGCAGGCCCGTCCGGGTAAGTACCACGACCTCACAGAAGACCGGCGTAAAGTGGAAGTATGACAAATACTTTCGCGTTTCGTCTGGTGAGTGAGGTAGCCGGAGCCCAATTTTCAAAAGGTTGTCAACGCATCTGAAACCCTCGAGTGTAGCAGATGTCCATGGGCGGCGGTATTCACTTAACATCAGGTGAACCGTCTGCTCGTTTGACAACTTTTCGCATAAAAAAAAAATGATAAATTCAAAGAGTTTAGATATCCTTTTGGCAACGCAAATAATATTTGAAAAGCCATTTGACAGCCCATTAGTTAACATCTACGATGATCAGTGTTTCAGAAACCGGGCGTCAGAATCTAACTCTGAAATGCTTTAACTTAACCACTAGCTAACATTCGCGACTTCGACTGCTCTGCTTATTATATTAACAACCACACCGCATGCCCTACTTCACCACGGCAAGAAAACGCACATCACTGAACATATGGTGATCATAAAAATCATAAACTTTAATAACCTCAAATTAATTGAATATATTTTTAGATAATGGTCTAAGAAATAAAACTTAGAAGAATTAACTGGACGATATTCAGCGGCTTTTCCGTCATGCGGGCAGAACAGCATACGTTTATAATTTCAAATAAATAAATGTATAATATTTGCCTAAATCAGGAAATCGTCAGCAGGATAATTATTTCTTCATTAATTTGTTTCGCCGTTTCAAGCGATTCTAACGACATATTCGGTCGATTTCCAGGACTCTTTCTATTCGGAACTGTCCAGGGCTACCTGATGGTAAGTCTGATTGGCTGATGCAGCCTCATTATAACGGTCGATGTTATGCAGAAGTCATATCCGAATAATATAGTGCCTTGAACAATCACGATCCCACGAAGACACTTCATCACATCATGTTTTCAGATTGAGCTCGAGTAGATCAATGGGATATAGATAATGGGTAGTACCATGACCTCACAGAAGACCGGCGTAAAGTAGAAGTTTTCTTTTTTTTTTTTTTATTTATTTAATCCAGTAATAAAGTACAATAACATAAGTTATTCTCTGCCAAACTGTGATCCAGTTTGTCGGCAGCAGTTCTCGTGAATAGTTACATCGATGTACTTCCACTTCTGCCTTTCATCTGGTGAGTGTGGAAGCCGGGGCCCACTTTATTAAAAGATGGCAACGCATTTGCAACCCTACCTGTGCTAATGTCTATGGCGGCGGTTATCACTTAACATCAGGTGAACCGTCAGCTCGTTTGCCACTTTCTCCCATAAAAAAAAAACCTACACTATAATTAATATCACATCGCGGTCCACCGTGATCGAAGACGTTCTTGAAACTACTTAAAACTGATAGAGCCTATTCTAATCTTTCTCTATTCTCGCTTAAACTTCGACGGACGCCTTTAACAATGATATTGAATTACGCTCGATATACAAGTTGTTAACGCAAGGACCACAGGACCTGTACTTTCTAAGAACTCAGCTGGTCATTCTACTATGTAACAGTCCAGATATGCTTCTCACTTTATACGAAGGCATGTGACAACCCTACGGGTGTGCAAATGTCAATGGGCGGCGGATCTCACTATATTACTTAACATCAGTTGAACCGCTAGCTCACTTGCCACCTTCTCACATAGAAAAGAAAACCTTTTCAATTCGGACTCTTGATTGACTATGATAATCTCTTTAAAAGGGATTTGGACTATTCTAAAATTAAAGCTTAATAATCACCTCACAGAAATGTATAGGAATTAAAAGAGGAAGGAACATTTGATAATTGGGCCGGTTTCAAACCTGTACAATATAACAATATATTCACTGAGATGTGTCTATTGTACAGTCATAGATGAAAACACTCATTCTAATATATAGATATTGTCTTAGTTTAACATTCTTGCAAATTTAACAACTGTGCCATATAATTTTTATTTATTCATTTATTTATTTATTCTTAATGCACAAACATACATGTACAACGATGGACTTAATCCCATCAGCATTGTCTCCCAGTCAACCTTTTAATAGAATAGTTTAGCATTGCAAAGCTCTAGGAAAATTGACTTTCAACCAAACACTCCTTTAGCAAAGTACTATGTATTTAGTGTATTTTACTTAAAAAGTCTGTAAACTAGTTTACGTTGCATTCAAAGTAATGAGATACATGGGATCTCAAACAGTATAATTTATGCATTTAATAGATACTGAGAAAAGAATAAATGTAAATAATATGTAAGTTACTTTATGTTGCACACTACACTTACAATTTGTGGCATTTTGTATCTGTATTGACTTTCTGCAGTTTTCTTTAAAATTTAAGTATTGATTATTCCCATGTTTAAAATTATATTTACTTTAATAATATGTATGTATTAGAATTATTAAAATAAATATTTCAAGTATATTAATATACCTATATTGTATGTATAACATATTCTATTAGACATAAATAATACTTTCGCCAGAGCAAATATCCATTTAGAATAATTGTAAGAATAAAACTTGAATAAATAAATGGTTTCAAATAGACTTGTACAATACCTTATTTAATATATTTTTTCTTGCTAATACATATTTTTTTTTTTTTATTGGTCACAAAGCTTTTTAAGAAAAATAATAGATGATAAAAACCATTAATATTTAAAAAAAATATTTTAGGTATAATTATCTCGCCTGTATTCGTATCTACGATAGAAAAAAAGACTACTAATTTCTTCTTCTATAACATGTTATCAGATCAAAGCAATAAGCGATGACATATTCATTCAAACGACTTTATACCGAATATACCGCTCGTCATTGGTCGCATGGCAATTGGTGTAACGCCTAATTCATTGAGCGAAACAGCTTGGTAGGGGCTTAGCTTCGGATGACCCCGAAAGGAGCGCCTGCTTTATTGTGAATGAACTAAGAGTCAATGATTATACTTATACGCCACACAGGGTGACCTAAGGGCGGCGGTCTTTTATACTAGTCTTGACGTTATCAAACCGCTTGGTGGGTTTTTTCGGTTTAAAATGAAGGCAATATCAGCAGTCGAGTCGCGTATATCTTGTAAAAGTACTATACACCGCTCGGGTCTCGAAAAATGGCCGGGGTAAGACCCTTCCTACCTAGTACAGGGCGAACACATATTTCGCTAGAACTGAGTAACATTCACACCACTTACTTTTCAGATGCCTCGGTCATGATTCGACACGTCGAATATCCTAATTTCTACTCGCCACTTCACAGATTTCACCATTTTTATGACATAAATACATCAGACACACTTGCGAACCGTTCTTATTTCGGCCCTTTGTTGGGCCTCAATGCGCGTGCGTCAATAAAGCAGTCCGGGCGGGTTATTCAATGAACGGAGCGTGTTCGCGCGACAGGTGGCGCGCTTATCGCGCACAACTTCGAAAGCTCGCTACGGTATTGGTTCGTTCCGCCTTCGGGGAATTTCGACCAATCACAGCGCAGAACGGTTACTATTCACCAATGACGTCGTCTCTAAGCAGGGAGACAAAGGAGCGGGCTTTTTCAAACGTCAGATACTTTTATTAAGATTTTACTGCCCTATGCATATTCACTTTATATTAATATCGGACAGAATGACAAGATCCTGAGAAACTCGAGTTAAGAATGAGCTTTTTTATGGAATAATCTGTAAAGCGCTCGGAAAATCGGACCGGCGGGAGTAAAATGCAACGAGGTCACGCCGGGTTCGTGGCTCGGCAGTTACTGAATGGAGGCTCGCAATGGGCCCGTCCCCGTTCATGCTGCGGCCCATTGAAAAATAAATAGGTCAAATCATTGCAGTGTGCTCTAGTTGCAGGTTGGTGCACCATTCACGGGCGGCGCCCTGCACACGAGCCCCCAGTTCTATTTATAGCCGCTCTATATTTGGGCAGGTCATTCGCTGCAAACGTAAGTGCAGCCTCCGTAAAGTAGGTTACCTGATTTTCTTTGTTAATAGGCGTTGCAGTGACGTAGTTGCGAGCTGTGACGTCAGCATCGGATTTCTCGTTACATCGCGCGGTCCAATTTGACGGAAGCGTTTTAGATTTTCCATTTTCTTTATTCGAGTTCATTGGTTATTATCCGATTTATTAGTGATCGTTTGCTTATTGTTTTTTATTAGAGTTTACGGTTGTTAATGACGACAATATTAAATATTTGTGCGATTTAATTGTATTGCTTAATGTTTTCCTTTAATATGGTCTTCTTCGATAAAATCAAATATTTTAACGGAACTCATCATTCCCTTTTAATTAGCCAAATGTCACAAATGTAGACAATTATTTTTAAATAAAAGATTTCTTTTTAGTTATAGGAGTGCAATAATAAAGTTGATGTTGTATAAATAAAATTTTAATAATAAATTATTTGTACTTAAATCCTAAAAAAAAAAAAATACAATACATTTATAAATCGTCGAATTCGGGCTCCGATTTCGTTGCTTGAGCCATGGCGGCCTTTGTTAGATCGTCGCTCTGCAGCATCGTTTGATTTAATAAAGCCTGTAAAAAGAAAATTAATTCATTAAAAACAAAATAATTCACCATGTATTTGGCGTTAAGCATTTAAAAAAATTAAAATTGTGAAAAAGTGGTAAAATCAGTAGTGGTGTTGTTGGCGTGAGCCGAAATGTCTCACTTCGGCTCGCGGAGGTCGTAGGTTCGAATTCCTGAAAGCGGAAAAATCAGTCCAGTAGACCGCGTATAGCTCATACTTAGATAAGGTATTCATATAAGAACTAAGTAACGAAATTATTTTAGAATTTCATATCACGTCATATGAATATATAATATTTGAAATGCAAATGTTTCCTAACTCAACAAAAACTTCCCGAATTTATATCGAAAAAAGGAATAATTTATTTTTAAATCGAGGTTAGTGAGGATCTAATCTTACTATTTATCGATTCGAAATCGACGGGCTGCTACCGAGATCTATTGTCGGAGCTCGCTGGGTTATAATACAAAAACAATATCCATTTTCTTCTGTTTTGTTTTGAATTTTTAATAATCGCAAAGAATAACAATAAACGAAAAGAACGGCGATCTAAACCAACAAAAATATTGTTGAAAATTAAAAACGGCTTTAATAAAACTAATACATACATACAAGGTGAGTTTTATATTAGAAGATTCATGTAAGTAAAGATAAGCTATAGTTATTAAAGGTCCTAGGTTCTAATCGCGGGCGAGGTCAATCCCTAAACTACTAAAAAAAATTAAAGATGATTCTCATTTTTTTCAAAAACTTTTTTTACCGTTTTTAAATATTTTTTATTGTATGTTACACGACGTTTTCTAGGTACTAATCCCCTACAACATTGAGAAAAGGGCATATTTTTTTTTAACCCCTTCCCCCTTTCTTTTTTAAATACTGTTTCTCAGATATGTTTTTTTTTTTCATACTTTTTCAAATATATTTTCTTTATTTAAATATTTATTTATTATTAAATGATATTATTTTGAAATAGAGAGATAGAAAAAAATAGAAGGTATATCCAAGAATACGTTGCAGAATAAATTATATCAATAAATTAAAGCATTCAACGTAACTCGAAAAATCTTAAAAGAATCAGTTGTTACACTATTCGCAGATGGTTGTTTAAAGAATATAATTTCTCACATAAACGCACCAAATTCCCGTTCGCAGTAAAACATCTTTCCATTTATTTCCCTATGAAGTTCACGGATTGTAAAAAGTAAATAGTAAGTTCCCTATTCATTCATTTTAAGTTGGCGCCGAGTTCGCTCAATGATAGTAGCGATAAAGAAAGTTACGTTATCTATGGAATATCGACAACGGCTTTTACGACAGCTACATCTTCCGGTGAAAGCTAGTAACTAACAGCCCTCAAGTCAAAAATTCACAATATGCGCCATCTAGAAACGCGATTTCAAAACCTTGTAACTGTCAACGGTTCCGTTTCTGTAGTTTCTGTCCATTGTTACATAAATTACAAAATTTACTTTTAATGGAGATTTATTCTTAAAGTATGTAAGGTAAGTGCCGGACATAATTATGTAAACATAGCCACGTACAAAATTGCCCGGTCACTTCACTCCCCAGAGGGAACGCAGGAAGAATGCTTTCCACTTCCGCCGGACTTTTATGAGGCGTCGGTTCTTCCCCAGACGGGTATACCCATTCGTGCCTTACATTGGCCTTATAAGCACAATGTATTTTTGTTATCGAGAAAAGGGGCACACGGGCTCACCTGATGGTAAGTGATGTTAATATGGTGAAGAAAGTTTATATGAATGCAGAGTTTATCTTAAGAGATCGCTGTTTAAGCGATAAGGCAACCCGTTGTACCCATGTGTCTTGATACACCCAGATCCGAAATAACTGTGGGTCACACAAGTACTTGTCCCGTGTGGGAATCGAACCCACAACCCCAGGCGCCTACAGCTTAGCGATTGCGCCAACGAGTCACTTACACTGGGCACATGAAAAATTCGAGAAACTCCACCTTCTCCGATTCACGCCATTGAGAACAGAAGTCATTGTTAGATAATTTTTTCATATAGTAAGACACATCATATAATATAAGATATATAGATATCAGCAGTGCTACGCAGTTGCTTCTGACGTTGCAGAATTGACAGGATTGTCTGGAGAAATACCACCCGCTCACAGAAGAGTTGGATGGAGTGGAAGTATTATACTTTTGCATTTCATCTTCCGAGTAAGGTAACTGGGGTCCTGTGATGACGCTGTGGCGCAGTTGCCAAGGCATTGGCTCCGGTGCAGGGGTCGTGGGTTTTTAACCGACTTCAAAAAAGAAGGCGGTTTCTCAATTCGACTGTATATTTTTTTATTTTTTTTTATGTGTGTTCGCGGATAACTTCGTAGTTTTTGAACCGATTCTGATAATTCTTTTTTGTTGGCTAGGAGATATCCCAAGGGTGGCACCATGATAAGGAAACCCAGATCTGATGATGGAATCCCAGAGAAATCGAGGGCAATTCTCAAATGTTATATGTATTAACAATGTTTTTTTAGTTTCTTATTTGAACTCGGTTTTTTTTTGTTATTATTCCTACACGAGTCATGTATTTGTGTGACTGACAGATAATTTTTTCGGATCCGGGTGTACCTCCATGTGAAATGTATGCATGTAAAACAACCATACAATGCACGATAATGGTACCCTACAGAATGGGGACAATAGAACTTTCTAGGTCACAGTGGCCATTGGGACATAATATCACACAAAATACAATCCAATATTGTAGATGTCAATGGGCTATGGTACTCAATTAACATCATGTGAACTACATGCTCGCTTACTAACTTTCTAATATACAGCGTGTCGTTACCATAGCGACAATAAATGAACACACATATAGGGGATAACTTTTTAAAGTTGTATTAAACATTTAAATTCTTTAAACATCAATATTTACAGAGTTATTAAATTTTCCAAAACAAAGAATTTTAGAACACCCTTACCTATAAAAGCGTAACGTAAAGTTCTATTTGTAAAGGTCACAAAGCATTATGAATGGGTTGAATGAATATAAAATAGACAAAACATACTGTTAGAAGGAGAGGCTTGTAATACGACGCTGTGGCGCGAGTTGTATAGGATGTTACAAATTTTGTTTCTATTTACTTAATTAGTTTGTTAGAAAAATATTTTTTTTTTAATTATGGATTTCGTTTAACTTTTATATTTTTTTTATGATTATTGGCAAGTAGCGTTAGACGTGTGTTCATTTATTGTCGCGATGATAACGACACGCTGTATAAAATTCTCGTGTCACGGTGATTGTAATTGAACACTTCCGAAACGGCTCGACCGATATTCGTGAAATTTTGTGTGCATATCGGCCATGGTGGAGAATCGGACAATATCAATTTTTCATCCCCCTAAATGTTAAGGGTGGTCCACCTCAAACATTTTTTTTTACCCTACAAATAATATATATGACAAAACATCGTTTGCCGGTTCAGCTAGTATCATTATAAAAATTGGTACTCACGATATGCTCCAAGCCCTCGTTGGTCGGTCTACTCTGGGAGTAGACCAGAGACTGCTTCGTCACCTGCACGGCCACTGGACTCTTCGATGCTATAGTCTGGGCCACTTCCAATACTTGCTCGATCGCACTGGAAGGTATGAGCTCATCAGACATGTGGTATTTTTTACTCTATATTTTAAAAGGAGGACGATACGGTAGCGCCTTGCGCTTCTGGTCTTCTTGGCCGTGATTATTACTTCTTTTTTTTAAATGAAGTAATGGTTGAATAATTGACACAATACCAACAAAAGCAAAAAAAAAATGAGCGGGATTATGAAACCGCGATGCAAGCGATACTTTTTTCGGAACTGAAAATTTTCAGTTAAATATTACCTATAAATAATTGATAATACAAATGCTACGCGGTTAGCAGGTGTTTCACTTTACCTATACTCCGCAGCCGGCTGTAATTCGTCATGCGATAGATGGACATATGAGGCGACAGAAAAGAATGTAGGAAGTTTTTTTTATGTGAAAAGGTGCCAAGCGAGCAGGCGGTTCACCTGATGTTAAATGAATACCTCTGCCCATCTACATCTGCTACACCCGAGGGTTGCAGAATAGTTGACAGTCTTTTGAAAATTGGACTCCGGCCACTTCACTCACCAGACGAAACGCTAAAGTATTAGTATTATATTAATAAGTATTATATAATTATATAAATTATATAATAAGTATTATTAATAGTAAGTATTATATTTCCATTTCACGCCAAACTTAAAATAATTCTTATATATAGCCTTTCCAAGTATAGCCCAGATCACTAAACAATATCCATTCATCGATTTTTTTTACTCCGATTTTGTTTTGGGGTTTTTTTATCCTTTTTGGATATGTCAACCCCATTGTGACCATCTCATTTCTATACTTTAGAAATACACTTTATCTAAATTATTGTGAGAACATCATGAAATTTGACCATGATCATAATTGAAATTTTAAACATGTTTTTTTGGTGACACTAAAGTAAGCTAATAGTTACGAAAAAAAAAAATAGTGGACTTTGTATATTTCAATTTCAATAAGTACCAACTGTAAATCATAATTTGTTGTAAGTTTAGCGGGCTTGGAACTAAAGAAATTGAATATTCAACTGACCTATCTCTGTCTGGATAAACTTTGCTGACGAGGCCGATTTCCAACGCCTCCTTCGATGGCAGCTTCCTAGCGGTGAAGCACAGCTCCCGAGCAATGGATGCGCTTCCAATCACCTGGAAAAGTGGCAGATTAACATGCATACTAATATTATTCGGCGATCCCATTAGCGTAGTAGATATGGACCTGACTTCTGCGCCAGAGGGTGTTAGTTCGATCCCCAATACAGGAAATATATTGTGCGATGAACATAGTGTTTTTCTAGTGCCTGGTTGTAAATATTATAATATGTATTTATTTACACAGTATTTTTAAGTATGCTTACCAGTTACCTAGTATCCATAGTACAAGTATTGCCTTCTTTGAAACTAAATAACTGTAAAAAAAGTTCTGAAATATGTATTTAATTTTATTAACTAAAAACACTAAATTAATAAATATTTCAGGACAAATTTTACACACTGTTATATATGTGATTACTGATAACCAATAAACATACATAAGAATGTTTTTTGTTTGCAAATCAATACATATCGCATTTTGCTAAGCTATTGGCATCGGCACCGGTGGTCGTGGGTTCGATTCCCACACGGGACAACCTATTTGTGTGACCCCAGATAACCCAGATAGTTGTTCCGGATCTGAGTTTTTGTTCCCAAGGAAACCCTCCTAACGTCAGGTAGGCGGCCAATCGTAAAAAACATATCCAAAACCAATTCTGTACCTCAGAGACATACAATAGTAACACCACATTTTTCAAAATTATTTTTCTTACTCATTTTTGCATATACTGTAAAATTTGTGTTTAGTCACATAATGTTGTTTAGCTCTGAGGTAAATAACAACATGATTCACGTGTTGTGCCGACCTCGCCTAGGTAGGATAAGGGCAGGATGATGATGATGAGATATTGTAATGTACTCAAAAAGTGTTGGTACGAAAACTCGCGGCGTGCATGAGGTGTTAATGACCTTAGGAGCATGGAAAAAATTTATTAACAGCCTATGTATGTCCCACCGCTGGGCAAAGGCGTCTTGTATTCTATATTAGGGTAAAGTCCACCATGCGACCCCACTGCGGATTAGCGGACTTCACATAACTTCGAAGTATTATTTTTTTGTTTATTATTTCGAAATTGTGCAGGTATCTTTACGATATTATCCTTCACTGCTGAGCACGTGATAGTTCAGCACTTAAAATTAACAATTCCATTAAATTAACAATTGACATCGGGATTGAGGACAGGTTCAATTAAATTCGAGCGCATGGAGACTGAGCTATAATATAGTGTGTGTATAATGTGTGTGAATACTGTAACTGAAGGCATTACCAAGTGTGGGGTCAAAAATAAATTGAAATGTAATTAGGGTTATTCTAAATAAATTTTATTGTATCTTTAATTAGACCTTGGGAGCATGTATGGAGTATTAACCTTGGGAGCATGTAAGAAGTGTTAATGACCTTGGTGGAATGTATATTCGTTAATGACCTTGGGAACATGTACGTAGTATTAACGACCTTGGGAGCATGTATGAAGTTTTAATAACCTCGGTAGAATTTATAAGCGGTAATGACCTTGGGAGCATGTTTTTTTTTTTATATGTTTGAAAGTGGCAAACGAGCTGGCGGTTCACCTGATGTTAAGTGATAATCGCCTGCCCATGGACATTTGCAACACCCGTAGCGTTGCAGATGCGTTGCCACCTCTTAATAATGTGGGCCCCGGCTACCTCACTCACCAGACGAAACGCAGATGTGCAACACTTCTACTTAACGTCTGTCTTCTGTGAGGTCGTGGTACTAACCCGGCCGGACCTGCCCATTCGTGCAACAGCGAACACTGTTGCGTGGCCCTACCACCGTAAATGTACGCATTATTAACGACCTTGGGAGCATGTATGAAGTTTTAATGACCTTAGAAGCATGTATAAGCGTTAATGACCTTGGGCAGCCGTTGCAAAGTGCCCACGTCGGCGGCAAGCCCCACATCCACCTCCTTCACTTGGAACCACGCCCCCTCAGTGCAGTATCTGGAATTTGTGATTGTAAACCCTCAGTGTTACCAGATATAAGCTATTCTCAAGTACGATGTATATGTATTATTTATATCACAAATGACATAAAGACGCACAAAAATTGTGGTATATACAACACAAGCCTGGACCCGCATTATAAAAATTCGGCAACGCAATTGCAACCCTACGGGTGTTGCAAAATGCAAATGTCAATCAGCGGCGGATTTCATTTAACATCAGGTGATTAGTTATGGCTTGCCACATTTTCACGTAAAAAAATGTATTGATTATTATTAAAATTTAATAGATAGTAAAAACTGTATATCTCTGTTAAAAGCTGTTAATAGATTCGGCGTTGGGTGTTGGCCTTTTGATTCTCACTTGGGACGAGCATCTATGGGCCCCACAGGTGATTGTCCAGATGGTGGTGTTTTAGGTGTTTGACCTTGTAAAATTTCTTCATAAGAAAAGGCCTTAGAATGTCATTGATAAAGTTTTTCCAAGATATCATCACAAAAATCAGAAATATACTAATATTTTGGCAAATGTTCGTCATCGACGGGCACATATTGCAATTAAAATAATTTTAAACGATAGAGAAAAATCACTAATGAATTACGCAACAAGCAGAAATCTCCGGTCGCTTATAGTTTTCGAGAAGAAAATATTTAAAACTTGTTACTTTCACTAAGTAAGTTCGCAATTTTATTAATTTGACTTCAAAAATTCAATACACAGTATTACAATACACTGCGAACATGATAAATATAGAGAGCGGGCGACGTCATACTCGTATCGATGGTTCGATATTTTTTTTTATTTAATGAGCCACAGAACCGACACAGAGCAATCCAACTAGGATAGGTTAAGTTAGAAGGTTAGGAGCTAAGGCGGGAGCGAAAAACAACGCCTCATAATATTATTGAAATCCATCAACCCGTTAAGACACAGTGTTTGCCACAGTAACATACATACACACACATCATACACAATGGAAAAACATTATCATCCGTGGTAGTGTGGTATAAACTTATGAAATGGTATAATACAAGTTACTACAAGTATAATACAATTCCAAAAAGCACAGTTAAATATTCAGGAAGAATATAAAATAAGTCAGCATTCAAATCATTACTAGCATCATAATAGTAACTAACCATAGCAATCATACCATCATAATATTCGCTTAAAAATAAGTCTTCCTTTACAATGGATTTTAAGTTACTCAAAATTATAACATTAAACATTTATTATATGACACATGAAAAAGTAATGCAATTAATAATATTTTTCTCATTAACTTAAGACATATTCAACTGTTCTAACCGCCACACTCAGAGATATCAATTAGAATTTGTCAAGCAATAAATCTTTCAAAATTACTTATCCTCCACTTGACAAAAAAACAATTATAAAGTTAGAGCTAATTGAGTTCTCCGAGATTACTTAGCTTTACAAAAAACAAATAGTCAATTTGTACTGTGACATATTTTGCTTTTGCTTCATATAGGTATTTTAACTCACCTGATGTCGGCAGCTGTAATTAAATCAACGCCCGCTCCAACACATGCATTGTGCACAACCGCCAGTACAGGCTTAACACAGTTCTCTAGGGCTGTGATGCCATTCTGAAAATAACAATGCATATTGGTTCAACTTTCTTTAGTATCTACGGCCTGTCCTTGGATAGTTATATCAGGTGGTCCTCATGCACTGTCTCCTCTGAATAGATGCATTTATAAATAATGAATTCTAAATATACTGTTCTTTTAATGAATATTTTTTAAAACAACATAGACCTATATTGTCCTTCTGAAAGCAATGCATGTTGTTAAAAATTTCTATTTAAAATTTGGAAAACTTTGTTGGTCTTGTGGTAACAATGTGTGGCAGAGAGTAGAACTAATTTTGTCTTAAAATGATGTATTATTTTTGTTGTGGTAGGACAACACAGCAGCTTTTACTGTTACACTTTATAGGTTTACAGAAGACCAGCATGAAGCAGAAATGTTTGCTTTCTTTGAGTGAGGCAAACTTTCACTTTTAGATATGTTTGGGACACAGCAATCCCTTAATAACAAGTGAACTGATCACACACTTGCCAATTTATAACATAAAAAATGGCCTGTTATAATATTTAATGGTTTATAGCTTTTAAGCAGCATTAAAGTGTCTGTTTCAAATAGAATAGGTAAGGTGAGGTAACAGCTTAAACCAGAAAATATGCAGGTTTCCTCACAATGTCTTGCTTCACCGCTGTAGTATGTGATATGTTAGCACTTAAAATTGCACAAAAAATGTTAAATCCTGGTGGGGGCACCACCCCACCAGGATTTATAAACGGGTTGCTCAATTATATTCAATTTAGAGCGAGCACTCGTACACTGTGCTATTTAAAAATAGTAAAGCTTGTAAATGTTTGTATTGGTACATAAGTTCAGTTATCAGTACCTGGTATTGCACTATCATTTTATGTAAGAACCTCGCTTTCCTTGCAACATCACTTAATTCATGTGCCACGCTTGCACTTTCCACAAAAGCATTCAGGTCAATGCCTGAAAATTTTAAAGTTATTTATAATTTATGGCTCACAGCCTTACAATGTTTTATAAATTATCCATAAAAAGGGAATAAAAGTAACATGTCACAAGCATTATATAAAAGTTAGATAAATGAAGCTAATTAATATGTCCATATAACAGACAGAGCTCAACTTCGTAACATCGACTTAGTTTCTCAAGTTTTATGCAGACAGATTCAGATTATTTATTTTATGGTTGCGAATATTTAAATATAATTACCTCCAGTAAAATGTTTCCCTTGTCCAGACAATATGACAACCCTGCATTCTGGATTATCACTTAGAGTTGTAAAACAAGCGGAGAGCTCACTGAAAATAATGGTTATTATTCTTTCAAGCAAACATAATTATGCTTGTATATTATTTCTATGCAGTTTAGAGTTAACCCCATTAACATTGGAATTTTTTGTATATATTTTTTTCACTTCTGCTGTTAAATCATAGCTTTATATAAAAAAAAAATTGTAAGTAAAAAAATTATAAGCAATACAATATTAGAATTTAAGAATATTAATAAGAATTGTGTGGCTTTCTCTTTAATACTTATACTTTAAAAATCTGTATGTGAAAGTATACAGCAAACCAACTTTTTATTATAGGCTGTTATTCAAATATTAGATTTTTTTTAATTTTACGAAAATAATACCAGAAAGTTATTAAATATTTATGTGGCTGTTTTTAATAGAAAAAAGAATATTTACTATTATTGTTTTACTTGTTGAATTCACTTACCTCCACATTGTTGGAGTAAATGTATTGAGTTTCGTAGGCCGGTTTAGTTCAACGTGAAAAACATACTTTTTCGGTACGGAGACCGCCAAAGTTTCGTATTGGGGAATTCCGGCACTTGAGCAACATAATCTAGAAAAAACGCCTGCAATATAAATTAAATAATTTTTGTATCTAATCTCACAACAACAGGATCAATTACAACTTTACTCACCCACAATACCTTTGGTATTTTGCACATAAAGAAATGGTTTTATTAAAGAACACATGACTATACTGTATACTTGACAGATATTAAAGAATGCTTGAAGTTAATCTTAAATAAAGTAAAATTAATCATAAATTAATAACAAGTCAATCCATAAGTAAGTCCAAACTCCAAACAAAAAAAAAGTGAACTTGACCTTGACCTTAATCTAAAAGGTTGAGTTTGTGTTAGTGTTGCCATAACATATAAAACACTTAACAAACACTTTCAATTAAAAATACTTATTTTATTAATTCTTTAATTGCAAAGGTAATATCTAACACAAAGTAATTGTATTTAAATAAACAATAATTGGAACTAAATTAAAAGGGATATGTTATGGGTTTTTCAATAATTTCTTGTTCAAGTACTTCGATAGATGGAGTTAGTTTATAGTCTAGATGTGCTGTGAAAATATATACAAATTATAACAAATTAACATTATAGTCATAGATGATACCAGATGATACACTTATATAGAGATTACAGTCTTGCTCACAGAGTACCCCAAAGAGAATGTAATCACTACGTTTAGTACCCTAGTACGTGGAGTACCCTAGTATATACTGGTCTTGCTTCAGTGCTTTTATCGTATTCAGTATTTGAAAATGAAAATTTTATAGAACCCAAACAGTAAATAATAAGTTATTACTTATACAATAATATCCATTAAAAATAAAATTGGGTTTTTGTAGCGTATAACAAAATTTAATATTTAAATTCTTAATAATCAGGTTCCCAGAGATTAATTAAAAAAAGATTCAAATCAAGATTTTATTGTAAGTACGAAATAAAAACATTGTTCACATGAGTTACACCTATATATTATACTGCTAATTATGCTATTAAAAAGTATAACGTAAAATTAAAGATCTATGATATTTCGACAAGAATTCAATTGGTTTCTTTCTTTATTTATGTCAGTAATGAAAATGGTGACATGCGCAAAAAATCACACACAATGAACACGTTTTGCTCCCTTACTCTATTTATCTGGTGGATAAATATTTAATGAAGGCATACGTGACTAAGTATTTAGATCGGAATTGTTTTTAATGAATGAATTAGCCCATTACAGCGTCACCGAGTGTAATCCATTCAGAGAGGGAGGGTATTGTTATTTTAGCCACGTCTCGATACGGGACATTGTACCAAAAAAAAACTAGCGCGTGTTTCGCGCGCTTAATGATTTAATAACGTGAGTCAGACAACGTTGGCGGTGGCGTCGCTTTCAGCGCCATGCTTTTTTATCTGTGCAGGCAGATTTGCACATTTATACATTTGCCCTTCGAAAGCGAAGCGCCCATCGCAATTCGCATATTTACATTGCCAGATGTCGGCAGTGCGAATATTGTTTATTGCTGTGATTATTTTCATTAATGCAGGGTCATTCATTCCCCTTTTATAATTCGATACAACACTTTCTTTTATTAAAGTATAAATGCAGCCGCGTTACAAAAGTGCCTTACATTGATTGACATTGACAATTTTATTAGGCAGTTTGGTTTAATGATATTTATTTGTCTCGAAATAAACTTTTAATTGGGCACCATGGTCACCGCATTTTTTTGTTTCACCGCCCGAACGATGACATCAGCCACGGAAGCCGAGACGCAACTTTCCCAGACATCAAAGCGTAGACAGCGCCTAGCCGTTTTAGGCACCCTAAACGAACAGCCTAAAAATGGTTGCTAGACCGATCTATGTTTATTGTATTGTGCGACGAAAAAGGCGCCTACATTTTTTATATGCAAAATAGAATTGACATTTAAAACACTGGCCGAATTTAGTTTCATTTTATGTGCTGCGATGAAAGTTAATTTTTTTAACCGAGGTAAACCTACTTTAATTTGCTTTCAACAGAAACGTCCGTCAAATTTAATTAGTCAGTAGTAGTAATAATAAAGCTTCATTGAAGACAGAGTTAATGCTAAGCCCATGCGATAGCCAGATACAAAGAGCTTGATACGGCCTATTGCCTCCTGAGTCTATGTGCTCCTGCGTGTGTTATCTATGGCGAGGTATGCCACTTACAGGCATGGAGGTTCGGTGTGGTGCGTGACCCCGAAGACCCGAAGTAGTTTTTTTTTTAATGTGAAAAGTTGCCAAACGAGCAGACGGTTCACCTGATGTTAAGTGAATACCGCCGCCCATGGACATCTGCTACACCCGAGGGTTCCAGATGCGTTGACAACCTTTTGAAAATTGGGCTCCGGATTCGTTTCATAAGGTTGACAAATTTTTTATATCTCTATAACCCTGGGCTCCCCGGTAAGGAGATATTGGTTCCTCCCAAAGTCCTGGGCCGTTAATAAAGGTTTAGTGGGTGAGAACCACATAATTATCACTCCCCCTCACCGAAGAGTTCGCCTTTGAACCTTTAAAAGAGTCCGCCGATACCAATAAAAGTAAGTTTCATATTTCGATGAATGTTCTTATAAAGCTTTCAAGTCTCTTAACCTAGAGTTAATATTAATGCGCTGATAGTTTAACTTGCGTTTAGCCGTGATAGCTCATTTTACGGGCGCTTTCTCTTAATTCAATATACTTGAGCAATCTGATTTGGAACCTCGGTGACGGCAACAAAGAAACTGTTAATTTTCAGTGCTGACTTATAACGTGCTAGGCGGTGAAGGAAAACATCTTAAGAAAACCTACATATTTTCGATCTAATAACAAAAATAACGTTTCGAAGATATATGATGTCCGTCAATCCGCAGTGTGGTCGTGTGGTGGACTATGACCTAAAAACCTCCGTACAGAGGAGGCCTTTGCCCAGCAGTGGGACACAATTACATGGGGTTATGTGGTTACGTGTCTACTTTTAACTCACGTTTTAATCCAAACCTCAGTACTAACAACAATTGCGGCGTATACCGTTCGAGACGTCACAAAAGATTGGAGTTAACTATTTATAATTTTCAATAGTATATTTATGAAGCTGGTTCTTAATGGTTTTATTAACGAGACTCCACTTGAGGCATAATTAAATGCTATCTAAGTGCTCCTTGATACGCTTCAAGCTCCTCCTCAAAGCAACTAGCGACTTCAGTTTCAATCAGACCAAGGCTTTAACAGCATACGCGTTGAAAAAACGCTGTACGAACAATCTTATCGCAGAAAAATTGGAACGGTATGTGTCATACACACTCATCAAAGTCAACATCCTTTTCAGTTTCAAATTCACTAGTAAAACTGTATCCCTCGCCGCACACTAATTGCAAACACCGGTGTTGACGACGTTTATAGCCAAGCGACTGTCCAACTTATACCTGAGACGATAAGTGTTAATCTCCCTCGAAATGCCACAGGGGGTTTCGGCGAAGAAGACCAAAAGCCAAACGTATGCTAAATCACCTCATGTGTATGCATAACGAGTGATTTATAGATGTCGCTGGAAACACCTCGCTATTTAGTATGTGGCGCGCTCGATCGGATCGCCGAAGCAGGAAGCCCCAGCCTAGAAAGTGATCGTTAAATATTTAACTGCGATTTTAACCGGGCGCGAGATTCGCGGAAGCAGCGGTGCCTTCGCTAACGGCCAGGAGTCAGGGCGGCTTGGCGTCTACGATACTACAAAGATAGGTGCAACATGGGTCTTTTAGTGGGTACCCGTTCCCGGGACTTCCACTCTCCCGATCCCGGGCAGGGGATGCATAAAGGATTTTTCCCTCGGAAAAAACGGGTGAGTGCGTGTTGTTCGATAGCCCCTATCGGTTACAGTAGGGCCACGCTACAACTGCGGCTGTTACACGAATGGATCTCCTCCGGGGTATCACGGTACCGCAGAAAGGCTCGTCCGGGGAAGAACCACGGCTAAATGACCAGCTTGATGTGAAATAATACTTTCGCGTGTCCTTGAATGAGTGACGTAGCCGGGACGCACTTATTTTAAATATTGTCAATGCATCTTCAAGGCCCTGAGGTGTTCTAGATGTAGCAACGTCGATAACTTAACATGGTGAACAGCCTACTCGCTTGACATCTTTTCACGCAAAAAAGAAAACGAAAAGAGTACTTCTCTTTCAGAGCAACGCAGCTGATTCTATTGTTCACGAATTGGCGTGTTAGTCTGTGGTGCACCACGACCTCAAAAAGTGAAGTGCAAGTCATATTCGAGCCGTCCGCCACGCGAGTGGTGTAATCTGATGATTCGCATCTGTGTGTTTAAAGTAACAGCCTATACATGTCCCACTGCTGGGCAAAGGCCTCCTCTATACAGAGGGTATCAGGGCATAGTCCACCACGCGGCCCCACTGCGGATTGGCGGACTTCACATATTTTCGAAATACATATTTTTTTGTTATTATTTCGAAAATATGCAGGTTTCCTCACGATGTTTTCCTTCACCGCGGAGCACGTGACAATTCAGCACTTAAAGGGATCGAACTCAGGTTGCGCGAGTATATATTGAATTAAAGGCGAGCGCCCGGACACTGAGCTATCACGGCTCATCTGTGTGTTTGGCCACGTGAAATTTATGTTTTTAAAACGTCCTTATAATACGGGATAATGTTATCCTAAAGTAACGGCAACGTTTAAAAAAGAAAAATAATGTATATTGTTTTCTTGATTTTACGCGAATATTATACATATTAAATGAAACTACTTTACGGATTTTATCGCATTTTTTATTTTAATTTAAATTCCCGACGTTTCGAACCCTTTCCAGCGTTCATGGTCACGGGACAGACTAAGTTGTTAGACGTCTTGATGTCATAGTTAACCCCGGCTACCGTCAATTATTTTGTTTATTTTTATTCCGATCCACGCAGAAGGAGCTTATGGTATCTTGAGGTCTGGCAGTGTTGGTGTGCTTGGATTTAATTTTATAAATTATGGGATCCCAAGCAGATGATAAACTCCAACCATCTTCTCTATTGAAATTAGGATGTTTCTTTAATTTTTAAATTGTAGTCTGACGTATCCATAACAACCGTAGCGTTACCTTTGTCCGCGCGGAGGATCGTTAAATCTGTATTGTTGCGTAGGTTATTTAACGCGTTTAGTTCACGTTTAGGG